ATTTGTGAATACGCCAGGATATTGCTCGTGATCATGATCAATCTTTTTGTTGCTTAATATTGCATAATATAAAGCAAGCACATTTTTGTTAGGGTTATCCGCATAGATCTCGATAGGTTTGCCTTCTCCTCGACGATAGCATATGTGTTGCAAATTAATACACGGCTTAAGCGTATCGTTGAGTTGACAAGAGTTCCAGCTATTAATTATCAATGATTTTAATTGTGGGCCAAAATAAGCGAAAAATTTGTCGTAATTTACGTCCGAATCAAATGTGATCTCAATTTTATTCAATTTTTTGCAATAATTAATTATTGTCTCTAATATTTCTGCGTCCATTGAATTAAATGGAGCATGGTCGCGGTAAGATCGCTTAGCTACATAGAATATTACCAGGATTAGTTTTATTAATTAAAAGTTAGTTTCTTACCTGTGCCTTTAATACTGGTTATCCTTTTGCACTTTTTTACTATTTGCTCAAAAAGTTTATTGTTTTTATATAATTTTGAATCAATATTAATATGATTTTGTGTATTGAATGCCAATCGTTGCCATTGAGTGGACACACATTCACACCGGAATCGGTCCTCAAATGACAGATAACTCAACAATACTTCAAGCATTGAAAAATGTATTTTTGTGATTTTTATATCAAATGCTATCAAACACTATGAATGAGTTTTAACATTATTTTCAATTATTAAAAATAGTCCTCAAATGACAGATAACTCAACAATACTTCACACAAATCGTCGCCAAACCTATCCATTGAGTTCTTCGTATGTTTTGAACACATTTTAATTTAACACAAAATTGAATTTAAGTTTAAATTTATAAATTTCAATTAAATACAATCTACAATAATATGCCACGTAGCCAAATAAATTGTATTGTTTCACTGAATATATGAAACAAACTTAAATCTATTGCAAACAATAGTTATCGTCTGATAATTGTTTCTATGGATATTTGTTATGACATTACATTCCAGTGTTATATTTAAAAGCAATATTATATTTGTAATATATAATGTATAATAAATCATAAATCTATTGTAACATTAATAATCTTTGTATAAATATTGTAAATTGTAAATATGTTTATCACAATATAAAAATTAAGCCGTTTATTGTTATGATTGATAATTAAAAACATTAGACAGTATACAGATATATAAAAAATAATATAATAAAATATAATTAAGTTAAAAATTATGAAAATTCTCAAAGCACATCCGCATAAATAGGAATTTTCATAACTGTATGTTTAAACTTCTAAATTGACTATTCACATTTGTATAATAACATATTAGATTATAATTGTGCTTAAATTAGACTGAAATTAATTGGTATATATTAATTACATTTAATAAATCGTATTTCATACGTTTCATAACAAAAATGTATCCTAAAATCGTGCCTATTACCCGCAGTCGCGTATAACCCGCACCAGCAAAAAGTGCAAATATTTCAAAATAAAATGCAATTCACAGATAACCCGCACTTCACGTATAACCCGCAACAATTTCATACCTGTTTGTGCTGACAAAAAACACGTGTTTTGAAATATATGGCTAACACAATATTAAACCTAATTTTTGTATTTAACCATTTGTAATTTTTTATATTTGTGGTGAATTAAATTATTTATTATGCCAAAGATAGACATATCTGGCGAAGAATCTAATATTATAACTAATCTTAACTCTGCTTTTGAATGTGATTCCGACCCTGATTTTGATGGATTTGAATAATATGTACTGTAATATTATATGAATTTTAATCAAGAGGACTATTTTTAATAATTGAAAATAATGTTAAAACTCATTCATAGTGTTTGATAGCATTTGATATAAAAATCACAAAAATACATTTTTCAATGCTTAAGTTTAATGTCATAAATGAGTTTAACATTATTTTCAATTATTAAGAATATTATTACTGTAAAATGTATCATTGATTAAAAATCATATTTATTCTTGAATAAAATATTTTAATAAAATAACAATTTTTCATTTTATGATCTCACATAACCCGCACTTTGCAGATAACCCGCACTCAGTAATTTTCCAAAAATATCACTTTTTTCATTAGATAACCCGCGGGTAATAGGCACGATTTTAGGGTAATATAAGTTTGAATTTAATTAACATCTAATTATTGTTAAAATATTTTATTCTTTTAATGAATATGAAATCAGTTCAAAACATGGTGAACACAATATAAAATGTCTAATTTTTAATTAATTTTTGAAAGATTCTATTGATAATAGCAATTATTAAAAATAATCAGTAATTTTAGTTTATTTAGCTGTATTATCCGTATAATAAAATGACAAATAAATGTTTAAGTCTGAATTTTGTCAAATTTTCCAAACATTTGATCATCGGATGCGCCTCTGGATATAAAATACGATTTAGTGTTGATATTGTCTGTGTAACGTCCAGAATATACAATATCTTCATATTTGACTTTTTTCAATGTCTTTTAATACATTATATTTAGTTTTTAAATCATACGACATACGTTTTTGAGACATTTTATAACACAATTAAATAAATTATAATTAACACTTTCATAAGAAATCACTAATCAAATGAATACAGAATGAATAAAATGCATATCACAATTCTTATAGTATTTAATGAAATTTTAAATAAAAATGTGTTTTTTGTTTGTTTAAAGTCTTAGGTTTGAAAATATTTTGAATACTTTACATAGATCTCTATAAATCCGTTTCTTATGAGGAGGTGTTTCCCCAAAAGAAGTTTCCCTAAGAGAGGTTGCACTGTATTAAAAATAGTTAGTTTATAAATGTTTGTGACCTTACTGGTATAATTATTATATCCTTACAATAATATAAAATATATACGCAACCATTTTTATGACCCTAACAATTAAGTGATATTATGGAAGTACTAGATTTTATTATGTACGTTTAAATATGCGCACCGCTTGATTCCGAGGCCGCACTTCACCCCCGTTTACCAAGAATTTGTGAGAATGTCGATAATCGCCACCATTATCCCAACCAGTAAATATATTGGTGCTCCATTCACCAGGTGTAATCATTGCCTCATGGGAAGGAGTATCCACATTCCATTCTTGTTTTACATCGGCTAACCTAGGTGCATTTTCAGGCTGAACGCCTTCGCCAAATTCTAAACTACCGTTGCCTTCGGCCCGGAAAAACTGACCCGCGTATGTGGCCGTCACATCTGACCACGTGTATGCTGGATATAGAGTTTTGGCATCAGCCTGGCCAGGCATCTGAACGTATATAAAACCAACAGGAACTTGATTCTTCTCTAATATGGTAATTTTAGATTGACTTTGACTTAAATTTTGAGTTAATTGAACAATTTCAGTTTGGTGTATGTTTTGATTATGTACCAATATTGTAATTTTGTCTAATGCCTCTGCCAACAAACGTCGATTGTCCCTAATCAAACGCTCGGTACGCTGACCCGACCACATCACCACTCGCTTACAAACATGAGCATTTTTCTTGGCACATGGTACATCTTGCCATTTGCCCACATTACCTTGGTCGGGTACTATTTCTACACAGTTACTATCGTTAACCGGGTGTCCGACCAACCAATTCTCATATTCACCACTACTACTGTCCGCCCAAACAATGTGTTTATTTTTGATGCCGGCGTCGAGCCATACATTTTCAATGATCTTGTATTTAACAATCATTTGATTGAGAAAATCTTGTTCTGTTTGTGAGTTAATAGTGGGTAGGGATGAGTCGAGTTCACCCTTACATGCGGTGACTACTGTCTGGTAGTCTCCCATACCGTCGGCGATATATTTATAGCATATATCGTAGTACTCGTCATGAAATACGTCCCAACCATCACCGCATACGCCCTCAGCGTAAATAAGCTTGACTAAATTTATACAAAAAATATTTAATAAAAATATCTTATGTTATATATTTATTATTCAAAATGTTAAATAAATTAATTGAGGCAATTGTATTATTTGTAAAGCAATCTACAGGTAGGTGTAGGTAAATATGTTGGTAAATTATATTAATTAACTTTTATATTATTTGCATTAATTTTATTAAACATACCTGAAAAGCATATAAAAATTATCAACAAATGTAGCATATACATTATAAATATTAATATAATGTATAATTTGTCTAAATATAAAACACATATTCTCTCATAAATTATTCACTTAATTTATACTAATTAATAATCTATATATAAATCTTTATACAATAGTCTTATACCATGATATCTCAATAAATAATTATTTATGTCTTAATATAATTATAACTACAAAATATTTATTATTTAATAATAGAGTTTATGCTAAAATAGATTGAATTGTAATTTTTTATTATAAACAATTGCATTAAACGAAGCCGCGTATTCCCATGAAACTTATTCCCACGTTCATTAATTTAATGTATAGATTAGCTTATTATTTAAACAAATTGAGATTAATGTTATAATAGAAATAATTAATTAAGTTGTAAACAAGGATCACACGCGATGCTATGCGTTAACCACAATTCGGGAAATGCATCAAAGATTTTAAATTGTTCACTACGATTGTTGGAATACTTTCACTATTTGTTATTTTGAGAATTTTGAATGTTTTTTACAAGAATTAGTTCTATTTATTATAACATTAATCTCAATTTGTTTAAATAATAAGCTAATCTATACATTAAATTAATGAACGTGGGAATAAGTTTCATGGGAATACGCGGCTTCGTTTAATGCAATTGTTTATAATAAAAAATTACAATTCAATCTATTTTAGCATAAACTCTATTATTAAATAATAAATATTTTGTAGTTATAATTATATTAAGACATAAATAATTATTTATTGAGATATCATGGTATAAGACTATTGTATAAAGATTTATATATAGATTATTAATTAGTATAAATTAAGTGAATAATTTATGAGAGAATATGTGTTTTATATTTAGACAAATTATACATTATATTAATATTTATAATGTATATGCTACATTTGTTGATAATTTTTATATGCTTTTCAGGTATGTTTAATAAAATTAATGCAAATAATATAAAAGTTAATTAATATAATTTACCAACATATTTACCTACACCTACCTGTAGATTGCTTTACAAATAATACAATTGCCTCAATTAATTTATTTAACATTTTGAATAATAAATATATAACATAAGATATTTTTATTAAATATTTTTTGTATAAATTTAGTCAAGCTTATTTACGCTGAGGGCGTATGCGGTGATGGTTGGGACGTATTTCATGACGAGTACTACGATATATGCTATAAATATATCGCCGACGGTATGGGAGACTACCAGACAGTAGTCACCGCATGTAAGGGTGAACTCGACTCATCCCTACCCACTATTAACTCACAAACAGAACAAGATTTTCTCAATCAAATGATTGTTAAATACAAGATCATTGAAAATGTATGGCTCGACGCCGGCATCAAAAANGGGGGGGGGGGGGGGGGGGGGGGGGGGGGGGGGGGGGGGGGGGGGGGGGGAGCCGAACGATCCTATAAACCACATTATTCCTATCAGAATTGTGGTTAAAAATATTTATAAACTTAAATTAAAATTAAAATGACAAACAAGAGATAAAACCTAACTTGATAATCGATTAACATTTATTATAATAATTTTCTATACAATTTTCAGTTAATCTTATTAACAGTAACGGAGTTTGTGGCGATGGTTGGGACGATTACTACGATATAGATGTCAATAACTTAATCCAAGTGGGAAATATTTTTATGGGCATTATGGTTTTTTTGTTTTAATCTATTGTCATTGAAACTTACTGTAATTATAGAAAATTTAGTGTAAATTAAACATATAATAATCTAGTTGATTTATATGTCAGTTAAATAAATTTATAAATTGATGTATCCGTCATGATAAATTAACATGGCTTAGAATTTACTTATATCAGATTGATATGATAATAAATTTGTATAAATATGTGTAATAAAAAATAGTTGAATATAATCTTATGTTCAAAATTGCTATAAAGATGTTTAAAATATATTTCATTGTATTTTTCACATTCTTTACATGTATGTATAGTTTATTTTATCAATGTATAATTATAGTAAACATACTGAATAATTGTTACATAAAATTATATTATACAATGAATTTAATTAAAATTAATTTTGCATTTTAGTCAAGCTTAGCAGCTCTGAAGGAGTTTGCGGCGATGGTTGGGACTTATTTCACGACGATTACTATGACATATGCTATCAATATCATTCAGGTGTGGCTGAATATCACGATATGGTAAAATTTTGCAAATCAATCCAGGATTCATCCCTGCCAACTATTAATTCACAAGCTGAGCAAGATTTTCTTACCAACATGATTATCAAATATAGGATGGTAGACGGAATATGGTTGGACGCCAGCATTAAAAACAAACACATTGTATGGACGGACAGAAGTAGTGGTGAATACGAGAACTGGATGTCCGGCCGACCCGTTAATAATGACAATTGCGTGGAAATGTTGGCCGACGAGGCTAATCGTGGTAAATGGGCAGATGAGCCTTGTACAAAAATGAATGGTTATATATGTAAACGTGTGGTTTTGTGGTCAGATCAAGAGACAGAAAGATTTATCAGGAACAGTCGCCGTCTTATAGATGAGTTGAAACATAATCAAAATAACCAACAGGCTCAAATCGTTCAACTTGAAAAAAGTCAAGTGCCTATTGATTTTGTATACGTACAAATGCCTGGTCAGGCTGAGCCCAAAACACTATGGCCGGCATACACGTGGTCGGATGTGACGGTCACATATGCGGGTCAGTTTTTCCGGGCCGAAGGGGGAGGTAGTCTAGCGTTTGGAAAGGGTGTTCAGGCGGATTTTGCACCTAGATTAGCATCAAAACAAAGGAAAGATGGCGGTGATACTTGGGAATACTCATTGGATATGAAACCTGGCGTGTGGACCGAGTGGATTTATTCGGGCACAGCAATAAGTGGTGGAACTGGCATTTTCAATCGCTATTTGGTTTCCAGCGGTGAAGTGCGACCCTTAAACCAAGCAATTCGTATATTTAAACGTATCAAATAGTTATTTAGTAACTAAAACTAAATATTATCTAAATTTAAACTAAACTAAATATTATCTAAATCTTACATACCATATATAGATAATAAATATTTACATTGTTAAAACATCTTTTGCTATATTAATAATCACAAATTATGTTATATCTATTACTAACAATAACATAATAAAGTATGTAATAAGTAATCAATATCAAATATTTTAATATTCATCAATATACTTGACAATTTAAAGTCTTTTAAGTATAAAATAATCATGATAAAATATGATCGTGGGAATAGCGGTACTTTTATATTGCTCGGCTAATTGTTTAAAATATATAAATATTCAGCATTTGTTTATCGTTTGATATTTTATTATCAATTTTTAACCACAATTCAGTATGAATAATGTGGTT